AGTCTGAAAATCTTGTTATAAAATATTTTGCAAATTCAAGTTCTTTTTTCTTTCATGTTGATAAGAATTTATTCACTTGCTGCAGCTTACAAATTTTTTTCAAATTAATCTCTTATATTTTCTGAAATTTCATACAATTTTTAATACAAGTTTCTGGCCTTCCCTTGTATGATTCAAGAAACTGATGAAACATCATTTCTGAAATGTAAAAGATTTGTTGAATAAATTATAAATTATTCAAAATGTATGCGTTTGATTTTCGCTTCTGTGCATTTGTACTAAAATTGCAAATATTCAAAAGAAACAAAGTAATATTCAGGTTAATATTCGCGCTAATGGATACGATGCCACAAATTAACGTTAGTCTCGTGCATTTGTGTATATAAAAGCGTTTTCAATCTAGTTAAAACACTTGAAAATTTTTATTAAAGACTTTTCTGGAAGTATTGGAAAAACCAAAAAAAGGACGAGATGTTGATATTAGCTGCAATCATTTTATTCTTTTGTATTGTTCTTTACTATGAAACGAAAATGCCAAATAACTTTCCCCCAGGTGAGTTCAAATCTTACAGAATGACTGCTTTATAAACTTTTTTTATAATTCAGGACCGCCATTTAATATTCCAATTATTGGGCATTCACATCTTATAAGAAAACTTTCAAAGAAATATGGTGGCCAACATAAAGCATTTGAAAGTCTCGTAGAAAAGTATGGAAGTTCGATTTTGGGTGTAAAGCTCGGGAGAGAATTGGTTGTTGTAGCTTATACTTGTGACATTGTNCCAGAAATGGACGACGATTGAATCTTTTGTTGCTTCCATTGCGAATTCTTTAAAATCTTCACTTAAAAGTTTCTCCCACAAATTTCCGGTGATTGGATAACAAACATTTCTAGGAAGAACATGAAAACCATCACAGTTTCCCATTGCAACCATTTCCTTGGTTGAATTTGTTCCACAAAGTTTCACCAAGACTCTTGTCACCATTTCCGGTCCATTGCTTCCCCAAACAGTTCCATCAAAGTTCTCCACTAAATCATTAGCAAATATTTCTGCTAATCTTTTCCCATCTTCGTTACTTTCAAAATTCATGACAGCTCCATTAGCGGCATTGGCAACATCTACGCAAAGATAATTCCCTGGAATTGAATCCAACTTCTTTTTCACTATGACATCAGTGTCAAGATATGTTCCACCATATTTCCACAATGCCATAACTCTGATCACATCGGAATAATGACTGCTTTTAAATGTTGATTTTTTCAGCTCATCATTCTTTATGAAATTCTCCATTGGTGATCCAATTGAAAATTCTGTTAGATTTACATAATTTACATGAACATTTGGAAATGTTTTAAGCATTTCAATAAACATTTTTTCATTTTGTGTCAATTCAATTTTATCGTCAAATGGAAATCGCGAGAAAAACATCAAGAAAACTTTCATATGAGGATTAGTTCGAGCTAAAATTAAAAATATATAAATTACTTTTGCTTGTTTTAAGTTAATGATAAAAATTTAACTCACCGGCTGATTCAATTGCGCATGCTTGTCGTGCTGAGAAATATCTTGGCTTCTTTCGCCAGACCACCCTTGTGGTGTCAACAAAAAAAATATTTTTGCCATCTTCCGGTTGAACAGTTGCTTGTAAAAGATTTTCAATTGGAACTGAATAAAATTTTTCTTCATTTGGAGAGCTTTCTTCACTTTTTAATTTACTCCAAAATTTTCTACACGTGATAATCAAAAGTATTATAATTAACAAGAA